ACATTTTTGTTGTTGAGAACATTTTCAACTGAAATGAATTATAATTGCGCATGAACTGTGATAAATCAAACGATAAAAATTTTACACTTTTCTTTCGAGCACGAACTTATGATTGACGTTGTATAATTAATATTTATTACCCCTTTGTACTCTTTCAGGATTACACATGTCCACATTGTGCCAGTGGATTCATAGAAAAGCTAGAGAACGAGGAAGATGATCAGGATATGAATATGGAAATTAGTGCTGAAGATTTCAATGATATTGATTTCGACGTGAGTTTTATTCATTTATCAACCATTATGATATCAAAATCATTACTAATTACTTATTTATGTTATTCTTTACGTGATTCATTGCAGGTCGAATACGAATTTAGTTATGCATTTATCAACTGATGTCAATAATTTTTTAATTTTTTAGCAACAAATGTATATGGAGCTTAGCGACATCCCGGAGCTCACGATTTCAGGATCAGAGGGCGATACGGGAGTATCCAGGAGTAGAAGACGAAGTGATTTGCAGAACAGGTAAAAATCATTTCTTATTCTATTACAGAATTAATTGAATCAGTAGCTGTAATTTGCGAGTGATAAAACGAGTTCCCTTTGCAGTCGAGATTTTTTGTTGCAACGAATATTTTGTCAATTTGTCTCACATTAAAATAATCACTCACTGATAGAAATAAATTATAATACCTGTGACGTTTCAACATTCATCTACTGTTCTTCACATTGATAATTATCAATTAAAGTATTGATTAAATTGTTTTAATGCCCTCGAGTGTACCGGGCAACAAATCATATTTGAAAGGAAGAATTGATATTTCACAGATTATCGAATGCCCGACAGAGACGACGAATGTTTTCTTATGAAAATCTTTTTCATGAGTTCTTCATTAATCTTAGTGGACTAGGACGACCCGTCACTACGGGTCAGCCACCTGTGTGAGTGAAAATTTTATATAAATTAAAAAATCAAAGCATTATCACAATTTTCTCATCATCAAGGACCACATGACGAATTAATTAATTTAATATAATAAAATTAATGCAGCAATTTATATCACGCGTCGACTGCCTCCTTCACCTAGATTTTCAGATATTTCTTCCAGGAAAATTTTCATTGGCTACAAGAAAATTGCCCTCTTTCACAGAAGAACATCATACTTAAGATGATTATAAAAAATTTAATGAACATGAAACTATCAAGAGACCATTTTAGACTGGATTTTATGATGGAATAATTTCGAATGGTTTTTTGAATGTTCATAAAATTAGGATTTAGGGTATTCAGTTTATTAATGATATTCAATGATAATAAATACTATCTTCGCCGTTAGGTTTTTCTTGGGTAATCCTGGTGACTATGTGTGGGGTAGAGATGGACTGGATTCTATAGTGACACAACTACTGAATCAAATGGACGGAAGTGGTCCACCACCATTACCACGTCAGCAAATTGACGAGATTCCAAATACCATAATTAACCAATCACAAATTGGTGAGAATTACATGAATAATTATTTTCTTTATTCCTTTTTTCAATGTAAATCCGTTACACAACTGTAGATCACGTCAAATAATTAGAATATAACATTAAGTCCTGTAGGTGGTGAAATATTAAAAATTCGATTACGATTATGCTTTTATATTGTATTGCAGACTGTAAACTCCAATGTTCCATCTGCTGGGAGGACTTCATCCTGGCAGAATCCGTGAGGCAATTACCTTGCAAACACTTGTATCATACACCATGCATTGTACCATGGCTTGAGCTCGTGAGTATTTTTTTGTTATTAAAAAAGAAAATCAATGTAAATGTTAGGGAAATTTTTCATTAATATAAATGGTAGTATGTAGTAAATAATCGTTATTGATCATGAATTACTTTAATATTCGTAGATGCGAGAAATTTAGGTAAATGTTTTTGAATTTCAGCACGGCACATGTCCAATATGTCGACAGAGTTTGGGAGAGCAAAGCTCTGCCGAGGCAAATCAAGACGAAGTCGGCCCAAGTCTAGCAGCCCTCTTCAGAGCAGTTCAGAGCAGCAATCAATTCACCAGCAGAGCATCATCTACCTCCTCATCAACAAGTAGCAACTACAGCAACGATTCCTCCAATGAACATTAAATAAATAAATCACGTAACGAATTTATTGTACAGAGTCGCTGTTCTCACTCAGATTCATACATTTTTGTTTTTCTTTCATTGCACTCTGAGAACAAATTCACCTCAGCAAATTTAGAAATTGTTTATGAAAATGTCCAGATGTCTTTAACGACGAAAGTGAAGGCAATAAGCCCATGTCATCCCTTAAAACGTTTACTTTATTGCCATTTCTATTTTTGTTCACAGTTATTTCTATGAATAATTGTTTGTTTATTAAAAAATTTTAATTGCTGATGGAAATTAAAATGGATAAAGACGGATAAATATTTGGGGATTAGCAAGAAATAAAAATACATCTGTCAATGAATCATTAAATTGTCAACTTTAGAAGACGTAAGAGCTGCATTATCAATTCGTCATTATTTTATGAAATAAATTAGTAAAAAGAATCGAATTTATTTAATCAGTTAATTTTATCCATGGACATATTGCGTATGGTCGATTAGTTCAAATGAAATTAAGGAAATTCAATAAAATCCTTCGAAAGACGAGGATTCAGACAGAAAATACCAAGAGACGTTTAACATCTCTCTAGAAACCTAGTGCCCGAATTGACT